GACATTTTTGGAAGCGTCATTCATTTTCCAAGTCATGTCCAAGAGTTCTAATAGAGACTTTGAAGATTTGTTTATGATAAATTTGTACAAATCCTTTTCGCCCTCAGAATGACGAGTTTTTGCAACGACCATTAACTCACTATCGCTTCTAATATCATTTGCGACAATAAATTCAGAAACATCGATATTGGTTAACTTCTTGGGTTTCGAAGAACTTGGTAGGTTTTCCTTAATTTTCTCATTGTTAGTTGGTGCTGAGATTCTCCTTTTCTTCGCGTTATCAGAAAACTGTGTGAAAGCACGTTTGGTTTTTGGTGAGCCAATTTCTTGTAAATTTGGGTGGCCAGGGCTGTGTAATACGTCGGTGAATGACTTGTTCTTGCAGACGTATTTGTAGGCGACATGGTAACCACATGATTGGTCGGAAAAATGGAAGGCAATTCCATGCTTTTTGCTTACATAATTTTTCACGGCTTTCCACCGCCTTGGTGCACTTAGTTTGATAGCCAAGTGGTAATGCTTTCCCCCATCTCTATGTTCCTCCATGCAGCATGACCAGTGTTCTGGATGGTTCGTATTATCCTTTTGATTTCCTTGTGATTGTGAAAATGCCTCAGGAATACAATCAGCAAACGCCTGGCAATTTGCTATTTTCCCCAAATCTGCCTGGGAATAAGTGATCAGATAAACACGACGAGTTTGTCTTTCACCGAGCGCCTGACCAAAATCGCTTTCGACAGCGTTATTTTCCATGGTAAACACACTTGAATGACTTGACAAGGTAAAGATAAATAAAAAGAAAAGCAATCAGCTTCAGAATTTCGCGCCTTTCGATTTTTGGACCCAGGCTTAAATCGCGCAGTACCGGAAGTTGTCAATTTCAAAACAAATAAATCTACCTCTGTATTATAGTTTGTAGTATTTTTACTATACGGAGCATTTTAATGCACGGCTTGTAGGAAGTTTACATCCTGAAAATTATCCTGTTGTTGTGATTATAAGAGACTATAAAAACGAAATCATAATATGAAGGTATGTTTTGCATTTAATATTTTATGTCAAACAAGAAGAATGGCGAACAATATAATGATGTTGGTTAGACGTTTTATACTATCTTGCATCTACATAATTTATAAATGTTTAATACAATCAAACGATACGTTCGAATGCTAAATAGTATATTTTATAAACCTCATCGTTCATGACCGACGACAACACCTTGGAATATGTACAGCAAAACCTCCATAAAAAATTTAAATAATCTATTATTCGCGTCCAAATTTTTATTTAAATACAGTGCGGAATTACAATTGTTTATTTCTTGCGTCATAATACTTAATCTTTTAACCGCACATCAACATACCGCATGCACGAGTGTCATCGGTGGAATTGTTTGAACATTTTCAGACGTCGCTGGCTAATAAGAAAAAATACAATCTTGGACAAAATATTTTGGCAAGACTTATTTAATCTTATTCTTTCTTGTTGTGTTGTCTTATTTTCCGTCATATAGGCAGATGTCTACTTTATATCAAATCTTAGGCACTCTCGTCCCTCCCCCTATATCAATGTTGCTATTTTCGGTTAAATCTTCAGGGAAAAACAGGTGTATTGGCGCAAACAACATTGATATTGGGGGAAGGGAAATAGAATGACATTTTTGCCATATATTTTGTCCAGGATTGTAGTATGCCAGCGTATGGAAAATATCACTCATACGCCGGTAACGCTGGCATACGCCGTAGATGTACGTTAGGCATAGGTTGTATACGTTTTAAGCAGGGTCGCTTACGGTGGCATACGCTGGCATACGGCGAGGCAGAAAAAATTTTTTAAGCATGCTCAAAAATTGTGTGCGTATTGGACGTATGCTTTATACGATAAGCATACTCTAGGCACACGCTGAATACGCTAGAGGTACGCCAGATGTACGGTACTCATACGCTGGCATTTCAAAGGATTTTTGTGCGTATAAAAATTATTTCATTAATATTCATACGCTTCTCATACGTTTCTCTCATACGCAATAGTGTGACAGGGCCTTAAGACCGAAGCTGGGCCCAATCCGCAGCTACCTTCACAGTGCTAAAAGGATTGTTATGAATAAGCGAAGGCATGGCTGTAAATCTACTTACGAGTTAATGACCCGAACACAAAAACGGAAGCCGTCTCAAATTTCAACACTTTGATTTATGACATATATGTCTCCCTTGGATGCCTCAAAATTTCTCCCATTTATACACTAGTCGTCTATTTCCCTTACATATAATAGAGTTCAAACATGACGCCCCTATACAGTAAATCTACCCAACCGAATTGGTGTTATTACAGCCGGTAAGAAACTGTTGCTTGTAGAAATAAAAGCCTACAATGAAGTTTTTCTGTCAACGCCGCGCGATAAGTTCAGCAAAATTCAATTTTTATTACCTCGAACATGTCTGTCAAATGTGATATTTTGCCCAATACTTTGAATTACGTTTCTCACATGAGAACCGCATTGTGAGATATCATATATATTCATATTATATTTTTATTTATTACCTCCAACATGCCTGCCAAATGCGTTTTAATATATTTTGCCAAATAGGCCTACTTAGTGCGTTTCCCACATGAGAACCGCACCGTGAGATATCATATATTCATATTATATTTTTATTTATTACGTCCAACATGTCTGTCAAATGCGTTTAAATATATATTTAGCCAAATATTTTAAATTGCGTTTCCCACATGAGAACCGCAACGTGAGATATCATATATTCATATTATATTTTTATTTATTACGTCCAACATGTCTGTCAAATGCTTTAAATATATATTTTGCCAAATACTTTGAATTACGTTTCCCACACGAGAACCGCAATGTTAGATATAACATTATATTTTTATACACATACAATAGTTGGCTAAAGTGTATGTAAGTAATAATAAAATATACCAATGTAATATCTAATATAAGCATCGTACACCGAATGACAACCCGCGACCATCATACACCATCTGTACCATCTTCACCATCTGACAGCTCTTCCCTGTATAAACACCCTACACCATCATACACCATCTGACAACCATCTGACACACTTCGACCATCATACACCATCTGACAACCATCCGACACATTTCGACCATCATACACCATCTGTACCATCTTCACCATCTGACAACCCTTCCCTGTATAACCACCCTACACCATCATACACCATCTGACAACCATCTGACACACTTCGACCATCATACACCACCATACACCATCTGACAACCATCTGACACATTTCGACCATCATACACCAACTGACAACCATCCGACACACTTCGACCATCATACACCATCTGTACCATCTTCACCATCTGACAACTCTTCCCTGTATAACCACCCTAGACCATCATACACCATCTGACAACCATCTGACACACTTCGACCATCATACACCATCTGACAACCATCTGACACACTTCGACCATCATATGCCATCTGACAACCATCTGACACACTGCGACCATCATACACCATCTGTACCATCTGACAACCATCTGACACACTTCAACCATCATACACCATCTGACAACCATCTGACACATTTCGACCATCATACACCATCTGTACCATCTTCGCCATCTGACAACCCTTCCCTGTATAACCACCCTACACCATCATACACCATCTGACAACCATCTGACACACTTCGACCATCATACACCATCATACACCATCTGACACACTTCGACCATCATACACCATCATACACCATCTGACAACCATGTGACATACTTCGACCATCATACACCATCTGTACCATCTTCACCATCTGTACCATCTTCACCATCTGACAACCCTTCCCTGTATAACCACCCTACACCATCATACACCATCAGACAACCATCTGACACACTTCGACCATCATACACCATCTGACAACCATCTGACACACTTCGACCATCATATACCATCTGACAACCATCTGACACACTGCGAACATCATACACCATCTGTACCATCTGACAACCATCTGACACACTTCAACCATCATACAGCATCTGACAACCATCCGACACATTTCGACCATCATACACCATCTGTACCATCTTCACCATCTGACAACCCTTCCCTGTATAACCACCCTACACCATCATACACCATCTGACAACCATCTGACACACTTCGACCATCATACACCATCATACACCATCTGACACACTTCGACCATCATACACCATCATACACCATCTGACAACCATGTGACATACTTCGACCATCATACACCATCTGTACCATCTTCACCATCTGTATCATCAAATATCGCGGGCGTGACCAACGAACCTTGAGTGGGTGGTCATCCTCACTGATCTCAAAAATATGGGGGACTGTCATGGATAGCGAACACTGATTGGTCAAATTTTAAATTTGTTGTTGTGTGATAAATGACGACTTCAACTGACCTGATACTTCATGAAAATAATTTGCTTTTTACACTACAGTATTTTGTACGTTTGCAAAAAACTTTGACAGCTTTCAAAGCAATTTGTTCTATAAAAAGTTTAATGGAACAATTACGGTATCAAATACCAATTGAAAAGATATGGAGCCAAATGAAGAGCGGCAAGGAAACGACAAGAAAGCCGAACGTCCAGCGAAAAGGAGGGAGCGAAGACGACAACGTTTGCTCGAGGAGACTGCTGAGGAAAGAGAAGCTCGCCTGGGAAAGCGTAGAGAAGCATGGAAAAAAAGACTGCTGATGCGAAAGGTAAGCAAAGGCTTGTCTTCACAACGCTATGTACCAATGATACTGTAGCTATACAAGTTTAAGTATGATATTCGACCCTCTATATTCGACTATTTCTTCACAATTTTCCAATAAAGAGTTTGTCATGACAAGCTCAAGTCAGTATAACCAGACTGTATTTTATTTATATCAGTTATCACAGCCACAGGCAATTTTATGCTGTCAAATACCGTCGGTGGCAACTAAGGGTGAACAGTTGCAGATAAAACATTCTCTATTCTCATTAAAAATCCTGTAAAAGTTTCCAGTAGGTCTCTAGCCCAACACGTTCAGACAAAGTTTTATTACTTATTATTGCACACATGGGAAACAACAATTAAGTGTTGTTGTTCATGACAAACATTGAAGATTCTAATCACGCGAATGTTTTTATGAGCGACTGTTCATCGTTAGTTGCAAGAGACGGTACAACATACTATGAACATTTTTCCGACTGTGACCGAATGTGCAACGATATATTTTTCAAAGTTGTTAACAATTCCTAAAATTTGTTTATAGTAAAACGGCCTGCTCAACACTCACTACTCACGATGATTTCATTTAGAAATGCAGTTACCAGGAAAGGAACTGATTCTAAAATATGTAAATTTAAAAGCATTGGCTATTACGATGTGAAGACAAGGTACAAACTTTTATAGTTGCTATTTGTTATAAAATCCTATAAATAAACCGATTCAATACAAGTGAGAATATATACATGTATATATTTTGTAATCCAAGTGAGAATATTTTGTAATCCAAGTGAGAATATACAAATGTACCGGTATAGTACATGTATATATTTTGTGTATATATTTTGTAATCCAAATGAGAATAGTTTGTAATCCAAGTGAGAATATGCAAATGTATATATTCTCACTTGGATTACAAACCCTAACATTCAAATATTAATTCCAACAAGTGAAGTGCAAGAATCCAAATTATTGAAGTCCACCTTATCACAACCCGCACACCCGATTACCTAAATATACATGAACTTACGGTTAAAGCTCAACAGCTGGCCTCTGTAGCTCAGTTGGTTAGAGCGCTGCACCGGAATCGCAGGGCCGTAGGTTCAATTCCTACCAGAGGACCTTGTGCTGCATTTTTCGCAGTCGTTCCTGGTTAGGTCTTAAAATGTATATATTCTCACTTGGATTACAAACCCTAACATTCTAACATTTGAAATTAAGGATTTGGAGGTTTTGCGATCACTGATAACTTGATAATAATATAAAACAAAACACTTCTATCTGCAACTTTTACAATCACTGATAACTTCGCAACAATGGTGATTGTGAGGTATGTGGGGAACAGTTTGCCTTCGTTTCCTTGCTTGTTAATTGCAGAATTGGAAAGGACCCGTGCGTCATGAACGCTTCCAGGCCAACCAACCACAACATCGCGAAACAAGTAGTTACAATCAACACAAGCTTGCATCACTATACTATGGAAGCCTTTCCTGTTGACGTATTCTACATGGCTCTCAGTAGGTGCGACTATTGGGATGTGAGTGCCGTTAATCGCCCCCGCGCACATCGGAAATCCCCACTTTTGTTCGTACCCATCAATAATTTGCCGTAAATCTTGTCCGCGTGGAAATGTAATGACCTTTGACAGTCGTTTGGTAATGGCACAGCATACTTCCCTAAAGCAAACACACACAAAGGATCGGGAAACTCCGAATAAGTTTGCTATTTTTTTATATTCCGCTGTGGATGCAAGGTAATACAGTATAACGTAAGCGCAAGTGGTCTCTTCGCCGTTATTGCTAAACGCATGACAGTATTTTTGTGCAGTAAATCATGTCTTACTTCGTTTAAAAGAAAATTGAATGTTTCTCTTCTTACGCGGAAATTAACGTATCAAAGTTCATCGTCAAAATCTCTATCCACCATATCAAACCAAGTGAGTGATCTTGGATGCATCCATATTTCCCTTGTTCGAGGACTGTTAATGGCCATTAAAATCGCATTCGTAAAAGGTAGTGCATATTTTTTCCTCGCATCAGTGCATGATCTGCTATTTAGCAATTTTGTTCTGTGTTTTTTATTTAAATTTTTACGCTTCCGGAGATACATCAACCAAGCCAAAATCCTTTTTATTTTGTTTACTCTATTGAAAGCCGCCATATTTGAAAAAAAAACGCGAAACATTTAGCGCATGCTGTTTGACGTCGCTTACCGCAACAAAAACGTATTCCTGGCACGCTTTTAGTAATGCCCATATAACATGGCCTGGCTCAGGGGCGTAGGAAGAACCTGGAGTTTGGGGGGGCACCGGCTTGTAGGGGCACATTACTATCGGAAAGGGCACCTAAAAAATTTTTCCCGGAAATGTTGTCGACGGGGGGGGGGGAGAAATTTCTCCTGAGGAAAATTTTCCGTCGTATCATACCGAAATTTATGTTTGTGACCTAATTTTTAAAAAAAATTTGTAAATCTCCACACAAAAACGGCACCTATTGTTTTAATTTAGTATTTACAGCGACATTAGCTTCTACAAAAGGGGCACTTTTCCTCACAAAAAAGGGCACTTTTCAACACAAAAAGGGCACTTTTTATCACAAAAAAGGGCACTTTTAGTCCTTTAAAAAAATTTGGGGGGGTACCTGCCCCCCGTGCCCCCCCGCTTCCTACGCCCCTGGCCTGGCTAACAGAAGCCCTCTAAACAAAATTTGTGGCCCGTCAACTTGACAAAAACAATTCGTGTAAACACAAATGCCGTACCCAAAAAAAATGAGTACGCGTGCCCAAATTTAAGAGTGCCGGGCCAAAAATTATTACAGTGTAAACGGGCCTTAAAACTAATTGTCGCATACTCGCATGCAACCTGCTTATACAATTGTGTATTCTGTAAATCAAGTTTATCAACTAAACGTATAATATAAAACATTTGTAATTATAGTGTATCTTGGCATGCTGCATGTAAGCTTTGGATATAACATATAATAGCTAATATCTTTATCTTCATATTGTATTAAATCTCCACAACTTTACTTCCCTTCTTTTTTAAGTATTATATACTGTATTCCTAACCATTTCTTTCCTTTATTTCATTTGACTGTATTAATAGGAAGTTATTTTAAATCAAAGGCCTGTTAACTGAGGTTTCTAGTAGGCCTCTATAGCTAGCCCTATCACTTGTAAATATGCCCGTTTATGTAATTATCACTTATTTACTGAGACCGAGGGAAACAGTGCGTTTTGTGGACCCGAGACCGCCGTTGTTGCCCGAGGCGAAGCTGAGGCAACAACGGCGGTCGAGGGGCCACAAAACACACTGTTTTCCCGAGGTCTCAGTAAATAAGTGTTTTGTTATATAGTATTAAGTGTCAAAGTATGAATAATTCACCGGTTATTGTTGTGATATGATCTTAATTTGAAACCAAAACTGGATAAATGGAACGCCGTAAATGTTTAGTAAAAAGTTTATATATAATGAACTTTGGAACTTCATGGTTGACACGCATGCGTATTGCATCCTTTTTTTTATTGACCGGTCAATAAATGTTTGATTGCGGACTGGTTGCCGAACTGACGTTTTGTGGACCAGCACGTGACACGGTTTTGACCAATCGGCAAACAGAAAAATTCAACTTTGAGACTAACTATATAACAATCTTGTATATATGATTGTTTGGTTATGTAATCTTGTACATAGGGAAAAATAGATAAAAAAAAATAGAAAGCACAGAGCTCGCATACGTTGACGTAGGTGAGTTGTTGAGATACACTGTGTAACCACTCCAGTTGTAAGCAGGTTCCATGCTACAGTTTAAGCCAAAAATTCTGTCTAGTATAAGTCGACATATATAGAGATAACCCGATTAAATGTTTTATTTGACTAATAAGTGAAATATTTGAGAAAATCAAAATATTTGAGACAGGCCCTTCCGCCATTTAGTAGTTGTTTGTGGTGTGACATTGTTTAATTCAAATATCATAATGTCACATTGTATTTCTTTTAGAAAGATATATAATTGTCTCCCAACATTGAAATATAAGGGAAAGGGAGTGTTGATTCCAAAATTCTAATTGTTGTTTTAGTTTTATTTTGTAGTCTACACAGTTAGCAACCTTTTTAAATGTATCTGGCTGTTGAGAAACACAAAATAATAGTTAAATATTGTCAATTTAACGTTCAAGTGAGGCCAAAAGCTACTGTTAAAAGTAAAGTAAAATTAGGCGGAAACTTTTATATTTAAACTTTTTATATTCTTATAGTTTTGAAATAAAAGTTTCTGCCTAATTTTACTTTACTTTTAACAGTAGCTTTTGGCCTCACTTGAACCAACAACATTTACATAATGCTACTGAAGGACAACTTTGTACGTTATTGTCAATTTAAATACAATTAACATTTGATGCTGTAAAATTGACGCCATATTTATACAGCAATATGAGCAAAACTTACCGAACTTCAGACATCATTTTCTCTTTGGCGTATAATTTTATCCCCGAGCCGGCGGCGCGAAGCGCCGTGCGAGGGTACTAATTCCCCCCGGCTATTTACACCCGGGGA